GAAAAAAAATATTATATGGAATTGAACGAAAATGAAAATTTGCTTGATAATTCAACTACGCTTGTTGGAGAACAATAAAAACACTACACTCAACAAGCCACCAATAAAACTCAACTGCCTAACCTATAACCAAAGTCTCCTTTTAATTTGTTTTTTAAAAAAAGCGCTTGACAAAGTTGCCCCGCATGCCGAAGTTGCCCCGGTCTCCCCTAGATATTAGATGTAATAAAGACAGAAATTTTTCCAGTTCAATGAGAGTGACCGAAAAGTTGTAAATTTTGGAAATTTCCGTGGACCCTGGTCCTAGAACGAATTACTTAGAAAACAAAAATGACGGACAATCTATTAAGTTTAACATATTTAGATTTTTATAGCTATGGTGAGAAACGTTTAAAATTTACAACAACCCTGTCGTGTTCTTTGAGGTATATTAGTGATGCGACAAAAGAGGTATTTGATATTGACCAGTATCGGCACCCTCGGATTTTGGCAGCCCGCGTGCATTCACGCACTGCACACCTACCAAGATCGTCTTCGATTCCATTCATTAGCCACTCGTAGGGAGCTATTTGACTAAGTGCATTGTTTTAAGATTTAAAAAGTAAAGAATATTGTATTTTATATTTTTATGTAGTGTGGGACTAGGCAGAGCACATTTCGAAAAACAACCGCCGTCCAACTTGAGAAAAAGTAACTTTTTCCATTTTGTGGTTGCACTCTACGACAAGTCAGGTCAACCAGTCGAAGTAGAAAGGACAGGTTTTGTGGGATTTATAGAAAAAGATCAAGTAAGTTGTTATAAAGTTAAAATTAGATCATTTAGGAGATTAATTTGATCCAAAGTATGAAATGATTATATTATTTATGTTACCTTTACTGATGTTGTATTGTTACTATGGTAGCTAGTAGATTCCCCTAGGAATTCCGTGACAAACAGTCTTTGTGACACACTACTGGTCACTTTGGTGACATTGGCGCCTTCAAACTAACTGGGCGGTAGCTAGTCTTTTTTTTTTTTCTTTTTTTGTGCCGAAGGCTAAGTGTTCTTGATAGTACATTTGAAAATAGGCCTATGTATATAAGATATATGTATTCCATATGTAAAAATATGTATTTATGTGGATATGCTAATCTATAAAGATAGGAGTGAACATACATTAAGCCTACAGTCTTCCTATTTGCAACAGTAAATTGTAAAACCTTATTGAGAAAGTTAAATAAGAATAAAAACTTAAAATTTTGTACAAGTTCATGTATAAGTTGCAAGTTTCGTGTCTTAAATTAGCGACTTTATTTAGACTACTGTTTAGTTTTTTTTTTGTGTGTAAAGTCTAATAACAATTAGTTATATTGCTCAATATTTATGTTTAAAAAAATCTATTATAATATAATATTATTAAAATAATCAAGAAAAGTAAATTTGTTAGCTACTTATAAACGAAAAGAAACTTCTTCTTAGATGATCAAACCACCAAAGATTACTCACGTGTTTGCATTGATTGGATTTATATTGATCAAGCATAAATCTAATTCAGAAAATTGAAACGAAAAAAAGAAAACTATTTTCCGACAATTTTACGCAATGAAACGATGGACAGGATGTCACAGAAAGTGCGATACAGATCAATTTGAAGCGAACGTGTTAAGAAATATTAGGTTACATCGCTTCCAAGAACGTGGTGTGAATCAAGTATTAGACCCGTTGACCCTAGCTTTTAGTCTTTTACAATAGCTAAAGTAAAAATGATTTTCTACTAAATCTAAACTATAATAGATATAAATTTAACTGGTATTACTTTTCTTACATAATATTATAATATTTAATACTAAATTAAACATGTAATCCTATAATTCGCTTTATGTATTTTTAGCTTTCTAAATTAATCCCATATCTAAAGTTATATTACTTAATATTATTCTTTTATAATATTTTAATATACTACCGAAAGCATTGTTTTTTTCAGATAAAATAATAATTTTAAAATACTACTTTCAACATTAAATTTTGACATTTTGTTATGTTCGAGTGCCAAATTCTCTTCTTCTTCTTCTTTTTTTTAAAATTAAATGCATATACTTTATGTTTTTCAATAAAATATATAAAATTGTTCACATTTTTTATTCATTAATTTAGATTCTATATTTAGATCTCCATAGAACAAATGGACATGCCTGGCATTTTTATTAAAGTCATAAATCTTCTTCAGAACGTCTATAGATAGATAAATGTGTACAAAAAAGTATTTTTATTTTGCTATATTACAATTTTTCTGATTTGAAACACTATATACAATCATTAAATTTTCAAAATATACAAGAAAAATATCTAATAAAATAATAAGAAATAAATATAATATCATATTAAAATATAATATAAGAGGAGAGAACAATTAAGAAAACCTTTTGATGTNTTTTTTTTTTTTTTTTTTAAAGATTCCATTTAAATAAGCGTTAAAAAAGATAATCTTTAAAACGTATTAACTTCAAATTTTATTTTATAATATTTTTAAAAACTTGAAGTTTTAAAATCTTTTATTTTTATATGTAAAAATCTACAACAAAATAAGTAATTTTTTAAATAAACTTTGTGTTTTTTTGTTTAACCGAAAAAGCGCGATTAACTTCCGATATCGATATTATGTTATATATTTTAGAAATAACACTCGTGTTTCCATAAAAATAACTATTTTTAGCTGTTCCCGTAAGTGTATTTAGGCCTATTTGTTGGCGCTATAAAAATTTCATGGTTACAGATTGGTATCAATGACGAGAGCTAGCTTTCCCACGAGACAAAATGATTTCTAGGATAGCAACCTAGTGACAATCCCTCAGGGGTCCTGAAATGTTAGGGCAGCAAATTTCATATGTCGTATGTCAACCTCGAACATCATTGTCGCTTATATACCACATAACTAACATAATATTAACATTTTTCTCTTTATCACGAGTACATCGTGATAAAAGGGAAACACGTTAATATTCTATAAGAGTATATAAAAGAATCTTTTATTTAATTTTATAAATTTATTATTATTATTATTATTTTAAATAAAAATTTTTCTAATTTATCATTTATCTTAACCCCTGTAAATCGGTTTATCTTACATAACAATTGTTTTACGGTGAAGCCAACTTTTAAGGATTTATAAAACGTATAAATTTATATAAGATAAAAATATTTTGGTGATTAAATTTTACTTATTTAAAAACAAGTTTTTACGACTCACTTTAAACACAATAGCTAAAGTTTGTTTAGACTGGGATGGAATGATCTAATAAACAGCAACGTGTGACGGTTAAACATCGTAAAAGAACAAGTTGACCACATTTAATTATACAGAAGCCATTAGATTAAGTTGATAAGAAAGTGCACTCATTAAAAGACCCGTGTTGTAATTATCTAACGGGTCTACAAATAATGCGTTTGTTTAAATCCGTGTTTAACAGAAGAAGTACAAATTGAATGCGGTCGAAGAATAGCCTCAAGCTCAACAACAAATTGTACGACTGTATTTCAATCTACTTTCTGCCTGTAATATTTTCACTTGGTTGCTTTTATCCCCAGGCTTCGTCTTTAGTCATGCGTACGAGTAAACATTTCCAATACTTGTAAACGGAATGAAATCATTTACACTCCACGGAAACTCCGTAAAGAAGATGAAAAACAAAAATAATCTTTAAAAAATCATAATTAAATTGACAAATTTCTTTTTTTTTTCACTTCATAATTAAATACATTACGCTAGTTTCTTATTTAATAATCATTAGATTAGTGTTTATTAAATTTTGTACATTTTTCTAAAGATTTTTACTAAATTAAAATTAATTTATATTTTCATTCTCTCTCTCTCTCTCTCTTTTTTTTTTAAATGTTAAATATAAACTTTTCTTTAGATATAACCTTTATTTTATTCTTATATTTTATAAATAATTTTACTGAGTGATATAAATCAAGTAGACCTAATTACATTAACGACGAATTTACTAATCTTTTTTAAATTTTTAAATATTGATAATGATTTCTAGTAATTGAAAAGAGTTTTACATTATTTTCTGTGTTAATGTGTTGATCAAGTGATTGTTCTTAACTCGTTAATAATAAAGGAATTTTTTTTTCTTATTTAAGAAATTGATTTCCTATTTTTGTTGTTAAATAAAATGAATATTTTCAGAGAAATTTTGTAGAATTCTAATTTGTCCAGTCTAATTTAGTCAATAGGGTTTATATTCCCAATATGACAATAAAGAGATCCCCTTATCATTAATCACAGTTAAAATGGTCGTAATCAAATACTTCTATATTTTCGAGAGAGAGAGAAAAAAAAGAGGAGGAAGAATTAGATTATAAAACTCTGCATCTTGATTAAGAAAGATGTTGATAGAATGCTTTAAACTAAGATTATGGATAGTTTGGATGGATTAACCTAGACCTTCTTAATTGAGAACTGTGAGATGTTTGTCGACATTAATTTTAAAAACGACCCGAGAATAATTTCCTCGGTGTTATCGTTATTGATATTTTAAGGAAAAGTAAGAATATATAAATATACTTGTACGTGTAAATTAAGATATACATACATAACTTACGTATAACTTTTATAATATATAAATATAGGCTATGTTGAAACACACACCGTACCGAGCATATATAGGCTATATATATATAAATAAATTTGAATATTTTAAAGTAAATCTTAATTATTTAGTATTTATCTTATTTTAATTAAATTATTTTTAATTCTTTCATCCTTTATATAGCGTATCAAATATATTTATTAATCATTAAAATTTTTAACGTCATTATTTTCTATACAAAATTAAGAAAATTCAATCAAATATAATGTAAATTTCTTTTACTTATAGGCCTAATTGATTTAATTTATAGGCATTTCTAGAAATGAAATTTATTATTTTCTATTTATAAGCTAAATATTACGTTTTATCGAAATTATAAGGTCCGAATTTTAGACCCGTTTTTTCTATAAATCTAAAGAAATTGGATAAAGTTTAATAATACTTTAATCTATAAATATATACGACTTTTTATTTCTACTTTTTAGATATAAAAAGTAGAATTAAACTACATTTTTAATAAATTAAATTAAGTATTTTAAAATTTAATAAGTAATTAAGTAACAAATAATTTTAATTTACAAAATTTCGTACAGAAATGATTTTATTAATTAAAAAAATATAATTTAATCAATTTAATTTTATGAATATAATTTTAAAAAAAATTATTTTAAAAATATTTAGAACAACTCACAAAATTTTAGAGCTAAACTACATACGTAGTATATACACAGTAATAATAATATATAAGTAAATACACAGGATGATCCAAAAGTCAATTCACCACGTTTTTTTTAAATGCAATTGAGAAATTTATATAAGAAAGTCATCAATTAGTAAAAGTGTATCAAAATGTTTTAATATTATATTAAACAAGACTTTCAATTTAAATTATTTTTACCAAGTTTGCAAGCAGGGGGACAGTCGAAAGCTTGTATGGAGCCCGATAGAGCAAGTTCCTTTTGCTCCCTTTTATTCGAAGAAATAAAATATGTAGAATATTTAAGGCTAATTTTTATTAATAAAGAAAGATTAATTTATAGGAATAGGAACTCCTACAGGCCTAAGTTTTATCTAGACACGGGAAAATCTCCTCAACAGCTCTGTAAGAAAGTATTTGAGTAAGACGGAAATTTAGTCTTTTTATAATGGTTAACTGACTCTAAACCATCCTATATTACGTATATGTATATATTTAGATCAATTTCTCTCGAAAATATCAAATCAAAGATGAAAAATTAATATATAGTAACTTATAGTCTCATTTATTTACTTTACAATAAAGCTTTAAAATCAATGATTTAATTTAAGTTTATTATGTAATATGTTAATATAGGTTATACAGTCGACCCCCCATAACACTGTTGATTATTCCGCTTTATATGAATTCCATGTTGTACGAGTCACTTAGATTTTACAAATACATGTGCCGGGCTGTAAACGGCTCACGTATTTGTAAAATCTAAGTGACTTGTACAACATGGAATTCATATAAAACGGAATAATCAACAGTGTTATAGGGGGTCGACAATATTTTATATACATATGTTTGCTTATTTATATGTATATAATTTAAAAATAAACTGTTTTATATTTCTAAAGTATAAATAAATGTAGTCGCAGATAATTTGTCAATGATAATTGAAACTCGAATTTACATGTTTAAATCCTATTTATTAGAACTAATGTTATGTAAAGCATTTTTTTTAAAAAATTCCAGTTTATTTTCTATATAATTAATATAACTTAAATATTTATTTCTTTAGAAATAATTCTTATGAAATTCTACAGAAATATTTATATTTTAAATTTACATTTTAGGAATCGGAAGGCCAAAAGACGAATAATGGCATACACTATAGATTACAACTCCTTTACGCTAACGGTAAGAATTTTAAAACTATTTCATTTTATTAACTCTAAGCCTATAAATTTGCAGCTGTTATGGTAGCAATATGCCTAATTCGAAGACAGTTTAGTATCTAGGATGACCGTTGGAAGGTGTGCCGTTAGATGTATAAGCCTCTTTTATAGCATGTCTGGTCAGCTTGGTAGTGATGGTCAGTTTGGCCAGAGAATGACCACATTTACACCCACGACATTCACACAAGTGGTGATTCTCTTAATCCATTGTCGAGCACGCCTCCTAAAATCCCTTCGATTGCACCCATCATCCCTATTCTCCACTTTTCCTTTACACGTTTACTTGATGTTACATTATAATCTCTCTATATTATCCTTATCTGAGTTGTCTTTTTTTTACATTGATCCTATTTATTTCAATGCTTTTCTCAACTAATATGTAAATATACATGATAAGATTTTTTATCAATTTTTAAAGTTCGAAAAATTTAAAATATCATCTTCTTGTATCGACATAGAAACTAAAAGATAATCTTTATTTTAACGATTATTTAGATTTTTAGGATTTATATTTAAAAAAAAGAATTCACGCAAACCCAAGATAGGATTTGCACATAATGTATACAAGATTCGTTGCATGAAGCTTTAAGGCCTTAGACTTTTACATATAGGCCCTATTATTTAGTGGAAAAGAAAGGCCTCTTATAATTTTGAAGGGTTATAAATGTAAATCAGGCCCCTTTATAACATCTATAAATCATTTAGCGTAATTTTTTTTAATTGAAAATACAATTTTAACTTCGTCATTTCATATTATAAACATGCTTATAACATATTTAAAATATGTAATATGTATATCTAATTTTATTACTAAAATTAGACAATGTTATATAACAAAAAAAAAACAAAAAATAATTTATCTAAATAGCTATTTAAAGGCATATTTCAGTCACACATTTAAAACTGATTCGAAAAGCAGCCACGTCTTTTACAAGGGGTGTGGACAATAATCGTATAGGTCGATAGGATCACACTCGACAAAGTAGGGCACATCACAACATCACGTGACATGTGGCAATTGGTGGAATAAAAACTCCGAGTTGACATGGAAACAGTATCATGTGACATACTAACCAAACGAATATGCAATGGAGCGTGTTAGAGCTGTGATGTGCTCGCGTGTCTGCAAGCCACACTCCAGTGACCAGGGCAATCTAAATAATCAGACGGCTTCCTACAGTCGAGTTCTGTAATCAGAGAGATGGCCTACTATTGTATATATGGTTATCTGTACACATTAAATAGATACATACACTACCGTACATTGTGTACCGAATGAGGATGTGAATCGGAGTTCTATTTCTTGTGTGTGCAAAAATCCATTCTGTTTTAGGGGGGAAAATCGATGACAACTTAGACGAGACATAAAGCGGGAAATAGAAAGTCAACAGTCTTTGTTGACTCTTTTGAGAAATTTTTTTGTCTCTTTTTTTTAATCAATTTGTAATGGATGTTGTATCGAAATAAAAATTTATATTCTCCGAAAAGATTTACTTTTGAATTTTTCACGTAGACGAACGTCGATAA